AAAACTTCAGACTGTGCAAACTCATTTAAGTTTGCAAATTCAGAAGGGAAGTTAAAGGTGGTTATCTTGAAAACATTCCCAAAATGTGTAATGTATTAACTGAGTGATACCTAGGTAAGGCTAACTTGAGACAGTCTTCCTTTCTGAAAATTTATTTCATTCCTATAACAGTAAACATACAACTATATGGATAATTTCAGCAACACTTGGAGTGAAAACAGATATATAAAACTAGACTGTTACCTCTGGCTTCATCTTTTCCATAGCTTCTCTTGCCTATTGATTTATTCTCATAAAAAGGAAGTGGTCTCAGGGCCTACTGGAGGACAGAGAGGCCAGTTACTGTGTGGGTTTTCAGCTCTAGAACATTTCAACCAAGTTCTTCTTTTCCTGTTTTTCTAGGAAAAGAGTGTCCTCTGTTCAAAATTCTATATTTTAATCCTGTTCCCAGTAGAAAGATGAATTCCCAGTCCTAAATCCCCTTGTGGTCTCACTATGCCTTCTCCATAGATAACTTTCCAGGAGCATGTAATAGGCAAGGCAAAGGAGATGACTTTGTTTTCTACCCCGGTGTGATCAGGATACCCTGTAAGTACAGCTGGCTTCTTTGGGAGCCTCAAGAGCGTTAGATTAGAATCAGACTTTCATAATCTTGCCTGTGCTCTACCCCACCCCAGTATACATCTTATTATTTTAATTTTGCTTATTTCCTCCAGTGCTAAAGAAGTAAACCAAAGACCACAGTAAAGTAACAATAAAAGTATAATTCCCTAGAGACTTGGAAAAGACGTCATTTGTTGCCTCAGTATGGCTTCTAGTCAACCCCTTTGATGTAAAGCATCTGTCCTCTTCAAGGAAACAAGAAAGATCTGGTTCTCCTTTCTAGTCTGTGAAGTAGGAGCCGGTGTCATTTGCTGTGAAGAGTACAAGCTGAATGTTCCTGAGTTGCAAGCTGCCTGACTGCCTTGGTTAACATCCTGAACATTTCATCGGCTGTCTTTAATAAGGAGGTTGTGTGTGAGGGAAGACATCAGCAGTTGTGGTTGGGTTTCTGTTCCCCAGCCCATGAGTCACGGCTGGTGGAGAGCAGTGACACCACTGTGTAATCAGCCAGCCAGTCACCTGGACTTCGTGCCTTTCAGTTACACAGTGAGGTAGTCTTCAAAGGCATTTAGAAAACTTACATGCTCTTCTTTGGTTATGAAAATTCTTCTCATTCCCTCTCCTTCTGCCTAACAATATTTAGTCATTTATGGCTTCTGTTAATAAAGTCTCTTTGGAACATTTAATCCCTAAAATAATGACATGGCCAAGAGAAGATTCCTACTTTATGAAAGGATAGAGATATGATCTGACATGCTTTGTTCTATACGAACTTCATCCTTTTATAGGAAACTTCATCTCAGAAGACCTAAAAGGACATAATCTAGAATCTGGAAATGATCTCTAGAACTGCACTTCTCCAATTTTAATAAGCATACAAAGCATCAGGGAGATCTTGTTGAAATTTAGATTGACTCAATATGTGGCACCTGAAATCCTGAGTTTCTGTCAAGCTCCCAGGTAAGGCCAGTGCTTTTTATAGCAAGGCTAGAAGACCTGAAAGCATTCAGTCCAGTGGACATCCACTAAGCTACACTAGTCAGTGCTGTGGAAGGGAGATATACAGGCTTAAAAGGTAAAGCCCTTGTCTTTGAAGAGAGAAAACAACCGTGTAAGAAGAAAGTCATCTATATGTACTTTTATTCATAACTTTTTAACAAAAACATGAAACTGTTTATCAATATAATGGTTGACTATTAAAGTAGTTACCTAAGGCAGTGATACTCACGTCACATGTGAGCACACCGGTGTGTAAGTTTCATCAGTTTCTGTTTACTCAAGTAAGAAGCTGTAGTGATGCTTTAAGCATTATATATGTCCGTAGAATTTTAAAATTTTTTGAAAACTTTTTTAAACTCTATTAAAACAGACATATTTAAACCTAAATGTCTCATCTGAACATAGAAATATATAACTGCTTAACAATATTCAGTGATATTCTTAAGTATGCACAGTTTTAGTTTATTTGGATTTTTATTCTTTAGAGAACACAATGAGTATATGTGAGCTTTCAAGAGAGTGATTATCCCACATGAACTTCATAATGTCAATTTTTTTATTACTTTTGCTTAATGAGTATTAGCATGGATAATGCAAAATTACAATTATTTCAAAACATCATTATAAATTAACATTCCAAACTTATTTTGATAACAGCTTTAACTTTCTAGTTGTGTTTTCTTAGAAAATATTAACTTTTTTTCATCACTTGATAGCAGACAGTTTACTTCGAAGTAGTCTAAGACAAGGACCCCAGGCCACAGTTTAGTAGCAATAATAGAGCCTGTTTATGTGACCTAGTATTTAGTGCTTCACCAGCTGTGTTCCCAGCTGGCTTTTCCTAAGAAAGGCTTCAAACCTAGTATAGGCAGAGCCAGTTCACAAATCCTCAGCATTTGGACTCAGTGGTCATTCAGGCGCATTGACAGATTCTGCTTTGTGTGTTTGAGATGCTGAGTAGACAGAAAAGAGGAATTGACACTTTTACATGATCATATAATATCAACAAGCCTATGAAGCAGGTTCTGTTATCCCGTTTCCAGAAGAAACTGGTCTCCATGCTCACTCAACTTCAGGGGCAGAATTGGCGTTGGAACCTAGGCAGTGTGGCTCTGTAACCTCTGAGTGTTTTTAATAATCCCCTTGAGTTGCAATTATAGTTAGGTACAGACTCTAATAATAAAGTGGTTCAAGAAATAACCACCACCCCACAAGAGCCATCTGGTTTCTCTCAGCCCCATCACTGCGCCTTTTCTATTTCTAGTCAGTAAGGAACGACCTCCAACCGTGGTTCTCCCTCCCCATTTCCCTTCTTCCCACTCTGGATAGGAGGGAGTCTGAACATTTTATCTACTTTGCATATCCAGTAAGTCAGCCTGTGAACATGCTTCACCATCAATTTAGTAGCTGTTTATTGACAGTTGTGCTAAGCTATGGGAATGAACATAATTCAGAAATGTGTTGCAGCATCAAGAAACTCAGTATAATAATGTGTGGTATGATAAAAAGTTCTTTTAGAAAGACAGAGTAGGTGGTGTTATTTTAGGTTCCCTATGTGGAGCTCTTCACTGCACATGTAATTTAGAGCTATGTTTATTTGGCTTGGTGTTTAAAATTAGAAGTTGACCATCTGTATTTTTCTTGATAAGTGTGGAGTCATCCTGACCAAAAGGTTTTTGAAGGTCAGGAATAGTTTATATTTGCAACATTATTTTTGAAAAGGAAAAAGGATACAGAAAAGTTGGAAAACAGTGCCCAGAAGTTGACTTAAGAGAACTTTGGTGTACATCCAGAGACATGTTAGGCAGCCATTGAAATAAAAATTACAAAGTATGTGTAACAACATAAAAATCATAAACATGCATGTGTTAGACCTCAAGCGAAATGAGACAAGAAAAGGTGAACTTGACATTTGTAGAGTGTTTATTATGTGCATGTACTATGCTACATTTATTTTCTCACTTTATCTTTTTAACAACATGCAAAAAACTGATGTTATTTCAGTATTTCATAAATGGAAGAATTGGGGCACAGATATGTTAGGGGACCTCACCAAGGTCACAGCTGGTGGTTAAGCAAGAATTCAAATCCAGATCTCTTCAAATCCAAATCTGATCATCTTTTCCCAGTTGATTTACTTTGAGCTATTCAACCATACCCCATCCCCCAGCATAGTTTTTGATTTAGAAATAATTGTATTTACAGTAAAGAGTAGAGTCATATGAATTCAGCTGAAAAAAAATGCTTGCATTATGAAAACACTAAATTGTAAAAATAATTGTGATTATTTTAGGCTGCATCATAGAGTTGCCAGGACAATTAATAGTTGACACCAGCTGTAAAATGGAAAGATAATCTTAGCATAAACAATTTTAGTTTTATCTGATGTTTGAAGTATGCATTTGTGTAACTGCCAAGCTATTAACTATACTTTGTTAGCTAGAAAGTTCCAGGGACAAGAACAGAAGAGCACTTACTCATAGAAGGAGAGCAAAGTCGTTTTTTTTTTTCCCTTTGGGAGTGCCTTGTTGTTTATTGTTAACTAATGTTTGAGAATTTGGGTATGGGAGCCTTTGTATTAAACAGTACTACTATTGTACATGCTAAGTCACTTCAGCCATGTCCAATTCTTTGCGACCCTATGGACTGTAGCCCACCAGACTCCTCTGTCCATGGGGATTCTCCAGGCAAGAATACTGGAGTGGGCTGCTATGTCCTCCTCCAGGAGATCTTCCCACCCCAGGGATCAAACCCACGTCTCTTAGGTCTCCTGCATTGGCAGGTGAGTTCTTTACCACTAGCGCAACCTGGAAAGTCATGCTACATACTATGTTGCTATATTTATTATAAACATTGACCATTGTAAGTTAAAAGGTTAAAACTTTATCTCATTAAACTACTTGAGTTAAATTTAGAAAGGGTTTTAGTGGTTACATTTGAATTTTTTTCAGGGTTTTCACCCTAAAAACATCAGTAAAGACACATATTTGTCACCTTTTCCCATTTAGTTCTTTTTTTTTCTTGGCATTGAATTGAAAAGAAGTTCAGTTCTTTCCATCTAAAATTGTATCCCTTTTAACTTTTTTTCTCCTGAAAGGACAGTCTGACTATGTTACTAGGTCTTCATATGTAACCTCTACTTTCTCATTAAAGGAACAACTGTTTCCCTAACTGCCTGCTCTCCTTAAAGCTCAAAGTGCACAGCAGCTGTTTGAAAGCTTTTTTTTTTTTTTCCTTTCTGGTATCCTTATCTATTGGTATAAATTGCTAAATTGCTTCCATAAAATGCCTCCAGACATAAGGGAATCATTTGCATAAGTGGATGAAGATCTTTGTCTTCCATGAAGGAAAGCTTACCACGGTCTGTTAATCGTTTTCCTTCCTCTCTCTGCTTCCAGTATCCGGCTGCTCTGATGAACTTGGGAGCCATCCTGCACCTCAACGGCCGGCTTCAGAAGGCTGAGGCCAACTACCTGCGGGCGCTACAGCTCAAGCCGGATGACATCATCACACAGTCCAATCTCCGAAAACTCTGGAACATCATGGAAAAGCAAGGCTTGAAGACTTCCAAGACCTGACACAGGAAGGCCACACCGCGCCCTCCTCCATACATGAACCCGGACTCATGAAGGAGCAGAGCTTCCCAGCAGTGCCACGACGAGAGCTGCTTCGGACTTGGAGACCCGGGGCAGAGGTCCCTGAGGCCACCGCCACTTCTGGGAGTATCCACTTTGCTATGGACGCAGCCTTCAACACCAAAAATGGGGAATGTTGGAAACTTCCTGAAGGATATAATCGTTACCCATAAAACTGTAAACCCAAGCACTTAACAGGATCTTTTGGCATTCTAAAAGGGGGAAGGGGTGTAAGTTTCAAATGTGGTTCTTTTATGAAAGCTAATTTAGAAATTATACTGTTCCTTAAACACTGTGAGAGAAAGTCAAGAGTGTCTTTTCAACCGTGGTAAACCATTAAGGTCAAGTGTTCATGGGCGGTGATTCAAGTGTGGTGTGAGTTCTGGTGAGCTGGCCATTTGTCTTAACGTTGCTGCCTTCCTTCTTTGGGCCAGCCTACTTATCAGTTTCCAGAACTTAGAAAACTTTTCTGTTTCTAATACTGTGTCAGGATCTGTCAGAGTCTGTATTTGTTTCCTGACTGGTGCACATAACATTTTATGATTTAGATGTCACCATCATGTGGGCATCCTTCGCTTTTCATGTTCTGTAATGGATGTGCAGGAGAAAGCAAACCACGTTTCTCACTGATGTCCTGGGAGGGGAGGGGAGGGGAGAGGCCCATGTGTGCCAGGCAGGCATTTTTTACTTTGGCGTCACCAACTTTTCCCAAAACTGCCTAGGAGAATTCGTTGTTTTAATTCTTAGGCTTTTGAAATTGCCTTGTAAAATGGCTATTCCTAGTTAATGCCCATGCTTATATAAGAAAGTAAATCAAAAGGAACTTTAAAAAGTGTTCTAGTTCCAATACCCAACCAGCAGCTAGTCCAAAAGGGAAGATGCTTGTGCCTTCCAGATGTTGCTGGGTTAAAAATCAAGTCTGGGTGACAATGTTACCGACAATTTTATATTTTGGAAAGAATTAGTGTGAAATGTTGATCACTTTCTAATAGGTACCCGAACAGCAGTGCTGATAAGTTTTTGAGAAATTATTTTTAATCATACTTGTTCTTCCCAAAAGACATAAAAAAATGACTTATTTTAAGCTGCAGTAGACTGTAGCATTAGTCCACGTGTTTCTAGGTTTCCTGCCAAGTGCTTTTCGCTGTTGAAAACTATTTTTCACTAGAAAATTTGGCATTTTATTTCATTGCCCATTAGTAACCACTTCAGTGATCATTTCACAAGTAAAAGACTATAAATGAAGTAGAGAGAAACATTTATTGAACATTTTTTGACTTGCAGTCAAACTTTGCTACTAGAAATTAACTTTGTAAAAACAGCAATCCACTTTCCACTTCTTCCTAAAGAAGGTAGCTATACAATACATATTTATTTATTTATTATTCTGCCATAGCAAAATAACAAAACTTGATTCATTAAATCAGTTCTTTGCAACTTAAAGTTAGCTTTTTTTCTTGTCCTTTCATACTCCACGTATATATGGTCAGCATCCCCATTTAAGGGAAGCTACATGTTCAAATAGATCATGTGTTTCTTCATATTTTGTATGTTTTGCTGTGTATCTGAATATGGTGGGGTAAAGAATTTAAAGTAGTGCTTCTATGGCATTAGTGTTTTGGTGAGAAAGATAATGTAGTGAGAGAGATTTGTTAATGGCATTAAAAGAAGGCCCTCCAAATATGTAACCTATTATTGGTAAGCATTTCATTGAAGGGCCAAAAGTTAAATTATAACTAAATCACTGTGTTTTCAGAATGATATTTAATGTTTAACAACAACAAACCCATGGTCAAACCAAAAGCCTGGGTTGAGGTATATTTTTCATCTTTTAGTGCATTGGCAATTGCAAAAAAACAAAAGAAAAAAGGAATTTAATATAAGGATATAGAGGTGAATTCAATGTCTAACATTTTTATTTATTTAAATAGTTATTGACGTATGATGGCTTCCTCGTCTTAACATTTTGTGTCTTTCAATTGTTACTGTTCTTCCTTTCACACACTTGGTTCTTGATAGTTTCACTGAATGCACAGTAGAGGCACTTCATGTTGACCCAGTTCCCAAGTAGCATAATAATTGGACCTGTGTCATAAAATGCATGGATCATTAATAACTAAATGTCCCTGACACCTTTCACTACAGGGCTGGACTTAGTAACTGACCAACTTGGGGGGGGGAGGGTTGGGGGAGGTCTACAGAACATGGTCAAAAAAATGTCTCCGCTCAGGGATTTATGGTGGATTATTGCAGACAGTGCTAAAACTATAGAGCACAAGACAAGTTTACTAAATTAAAATTTTATTTTTTTGATAAACTGTTATTTGTATAAATTATCAAGTTTTGTAGGCTTTCCTTTTGTAGAAATAATTGTTTTATGTGCCAGAGAATTTTGATTTTGTTTTCAACAATAAAGCATTGATAACAAATATGTTTATAAGCCTTTTTTAAAATCTTCTACAGGAGTAACACTTACGTTCTCTTGGATTTTAGCAGACCTAGGAGAAATTTGGGAATTTCTGGAAACTTTTCACAAACACCATTTTAGATACTAACTTCGTAGATTCCTTTAGGTTTGTTTGCTTTTTAATAACCTCAAGCAAGTTGTGTCACTAATTTGAAACTTTCTCATTTGATCCAGAATTTTCTTGCTAAACAAAAGCTCTTCTCTGCACTCTTTGGAAGCCAACAATGAACCAACACAATAACATCAGAGAGCAGTTGTAAGAAGTTGGAGGAATGTTTTAGAAAACGTGAGAGAAAACTTCACAGAAATTTCAAGTGAATAAGAAACTTCAAATTGCAGCAGTACTCCAAGGAGAAATATATCTCAAATTTCTATGGAATAATGATAACAAAAGGTCAATGTGTGGCAAAGTATCAGAGAGAATGAAAGCCAATTTAGAGTCCTCTCTGATTGCATCCTGTAGGAAGACCATCCAAAATCACATAACAAGAAGGTTAAAGCCCTGGTAGGTGCACACCTTTCTCTACTACAAAGCTCAATATAGCAGAGTTAGTCTGATTCATTGTCATTTCAGCCTGTTCTCCGCTTGCAGCATGTGGCATTTCCAGTGCTGAAGCCAAGTTTTCTAGCAATATCCCTTCATTAAACTAACTTGAGTCTTAAATAGTAGGCAGCAAATTCTATGGTATTGAAAATAATATGTAGATTAAGTGAAAAATACATAGAAATGAAATTATTATAGCTCTTTTAAAATAGATATCTTTTATTTATTTATTTGGCTGCATTAGGCCTTAATCATGGCACATAGGATCTTCAAGCTTCATTGCAGCATGTGGGATCTTCAGTTGCAGCATGAGGACTCTAGTTGTGGCATGTGGACTCTAGTTATATGTGAACACTTTAATAGCGGTATGTGGGCTCTAGTTGTATTTGGGCTCTAGTTGTATATGTACTCTTTAGTTGTGGCATGTGGACCCTAGTTGTGGCATGCAAACTCTTAGTTGCAGCATGTGGGCTCTAGGTCCAGAGAAGGCAATGGCTCCCCATTCCAGTCCTCTTGCCTGGAAAATCCCATGGATGGAGGAGCCTGGTAGGCTGCAGTCCATGGGGTTGCGAAGAGTCAGACATGACTGAGCAACTTCACTTTCACTTTTCACTTTCATGCATTGGAGAAGGAAATGGCAACCCACTCCAGTGTTCTTGCCTGGAGAATCCCAGGGACGGTGGACCCTGGTGGGCTGCCGTCTGTGGGATCACACAGAGTCAGACATGACTGAAGTGACTTAGCAGCAGTAGCAGCAGCAGGGCTCTAGTTCCCTGACCAAGGATTGAACCCGGGCCCCCTAAATTGGGAGCGTGGAGACTTAGCCACTGGACTACTAAGGAAGTCCTTTACAATTCTTAAATTATCCTTGGAAACCCAGTTTTTCCCATGTAAGAGAATAAACAAGCCTTAGATGACTTTTCTTTCTTAGTACTGGAAATGTGTACTCTGTGAAAACTGTGATCACTAGGGTGAAGACATCAAATAAAAAGTCACTTGATCCCCAAATCTCAACTTTTTAGAAAGTAATTTTCAAAAATATCAAGTTGATCATGAGCAAATAGTAAACGTAATTTTCATTTATGGTCTATTTTATGTTCTTCTTCTCAACACAATGTGCCAGCCTAGAAAAGCAATGTCAGAACAGAAAGACACGAGCTTCACTGGTTTCAGAGTGTAGTTACTCAATCCAGGTTAAAACTGCTTTTATTTTAAAATAGAACCAATTGTGCAATGATTTCATATCCTAAGACCTCTTAATATCTGACATTTCTATAGCTGTTGCATAACTGCCACTAGTTTTTGAAACTTGGTTAAATCACTTAACTTGGGGGCCTTACACTCTTGGTCCATGGAAAAATTGTCTTCCATGAAACCAGTCCCCCGTACCAAAGGGGATGGGGACGATTCTTACAAACAATAGAAATCTGTTTCTTACAGTGCTAAAGCTGAAAGTCTATTAATTAGAGTGCCAGCACGGTTGGTGAGAGCCTTCTTGAAGGTTGTGGACTCCTCATGCCCCCTCCCATGGTGGAAGGGGTGAGTGAGATCTCTGAGCCTCTTTTCTAAAGGTGCTAGTTCCATTCCTGAGGGATCTATCCTCATGACCTAGTCACCTCCTAATACCATCACCTGTGGGCATTAGGTTTTCACCATGTGAATTTTGGTGGGATGTAAACATGGCATCCGGTCCCATCACTTCATGGGAAATAGATGGGGAGACAGTGGAAACAGTGTCAGACTTTATTTTGGGGGGCTCCAAAATCACTGCAGATGGTGAATGCAGTCAAGAAATTAAAAGACGCTTACTCCTTGGAAGGAAAGTTATGACCAACCTAGACAGCATATTAAAAAGCAGAGACATTACTTTGCCAACAAAGGTCCGTCTGGTCAAGGCTATGGTTTTTCCAGTGGTCGTGTATGGATGTGAGA